ATGAAAACTTGTACCCAGAATTAAACTTTGTTGGTCTTAAAGGTGCCACTGGACTCAAACTTTGTTCTGTTGCTTCATACCAACATGGCTGCCCACCTGAATCTAATATTTTTAGCTCACCCATAGACTTTCAACAGCAGTTCACAGAGAGATTGTCAATTCAATTCAAATTTATTATGGCCAATTTACCAGTAGCCAAAGCCGAAAGGAAGCTCAGTTGTGGATATGTCTGATGGTGAAAGGAAAGTCCGATGCGGCAAAGAACAATACTGCATAGGAACCTGGAATGTAAGATCTATGAATCAAGGTAAGCTTGACGTGGTCAAAAATGAGATGGCAAGACTGAACATTGATATCTTAGGAATCAGTTAACTAAAGTGGACAGGAATGGGCAAATTTAACTCTGAAGACCATTATATCTACTACTGTGGCCAGGAATCTCGTAGAAAAAATGGTGTGGCCTTTATAGTCAACAAGAGAGTGCAGGGGTCAGTACTGGGATACAATCTCAAAAATGAAAGAATGATTTTGGTCCGATTCCAGGGCAAACCATTCAACATCACAGTAATCCAAGTCTATGCCCCAACCACTGATGCAGAAGAGGCTGAAGTGGACCGGTCCTATGAAGACCTACAACACCTCATAGAACTAACACCAAAAAATGATGTCCTCATCATCATAGGGGACTGGAATGCTAAAGTAGGAAGTCAAAAGGTAACCAGAATAACAGACAAGTTTGGCCTTGGAAAGCAAAATGAAGCAGGGCAAAGGTTAACAGAGTTTTGTCAAGAGAACACACTGGTCATAGCGAACACCCTTTTCCAACAACCTAAGAGGCGACTCTACACATGGACATCACCAGATGGGCAACACCAAAATCAGATTGACTATATAATTTGCAGTCAAAGATGGAGAAGCTCTATCCAGTCAGTAAAAACAAGACCTGGAGCTGACTGTGGTTCAGATCATGAGCTACTCATTGCAAAATTCAGACTTAAACTGAAGAAAATTGGGAAAACCACGAGGCCATTCAGGTTTGACCTAGATCGCATCCCTGATGAATATACAGTAGAGGTGAAGAATAGATTCAAGGGTCTGGATTTGATAGATAGAGTGCCTGAAGAACTATGGACGGAGGTTCGTGACATTGTACAGGAGGCAGCAATCACCACCATACCAAAGAAAAAGAAATGCAAGAAAGCAAAATGGCTTTCTGATGAGGCTTTACAAATAGCAGAGGAAAGAAGGAAAGCGAAAGGCAAAGGCGAAAAGGAAAGATTTACCCAACTGAACGCAGATTTCCAGAGAACAGCAAGGAGAGATAAGGAGGCCTTCCTGAATGAACAGTGCAAAGTAATAGAAGAAAACAATAGAATGGGAAGGACTAGAGATCTCTTCAAGAAAATTGGAGAAATCAAGGGAGCGTTCCATGCAAAGCTGGCCATGATAAAGGACAAAAACGGTAGGGACCTAACAGAAGCAGAAGAGATTAGGAAAAGATGGCAAGAATACACAGAAGAACTATACAAGAAAGACCTCGATGTCCTTGACAACCACGACGGTATAATCACTGACCTCGAGCCAGACATCCTGGAATGTGAAGTTAAATGGGCCTTAGAAAGCATTACTAACAACAAAGCTAGTGGAGGTGATGGTATCCCAGCTGAGCTATTCAAAGTCTTAGAAGAGGATGCTGTTAAAGTTCTGCACTCCATTTGCCAGCAAATTTGGAAAACGCAACAGTGGCCACAGGATTGGAAAAGATCAGTATACATTCCAATCCCAAAGAAGGGCAATGCCAAGGAATGTTCAAACTATCGCACAATTGCACTCATATCACACGCTAGCAAGGTCATGCTCAAGATCCTACAAGCTAGGCTTCAACAGTACGTGGATAGAGAACTACCAGAAGTACAAGCTGGGTTTCGAAGAGGTAGAGGAACGAGAGATCATATTGCCAACATTCGCTGGATTATGGAGAAAGCAAGAGAGTACCAGAAAAATATCTACTTCTGCTTCATTGACTATGCTAAAGCCTTTGACTGTGTGGATCACAACAAACTATGGCAGGTCCTTAAAGAGATGGGAGTACCAGACCACCTCACATGTCTCTTGAGAAACCTGTATAAGGGCCAAGAAGCGACAGTTAGAACCGGATACGGAACAACTGATTGGTTCAGCATAGGAAAAGGAGTACGACAAGGATGTATACTGTCACCTTGCTTATTTAATATATATGCAGAGTACATCATGCGAAATGCTGGCCTGGATGAATCACAAGCGGGAATTAAGATTGCTGGGGAAAAGATCAACAACCTCAGATATGCAGATGATACCACTCTAATGGCTGAAAGTGAAGAGGATCTAAAGAACCTCTTGCTCAGAGTAAAAGAGGAGAGCGCAAAAGTGGGCTTGAAGCTCAACATCAAAAAAACTAAGATCATGGCATCCGGCCCCATCACTCCTTGGCAAATAGAAGGGGAAGCTGTGGAAGTAGTGACAGACTTCACGTTCCTGGGATCCCAGATCACCGCAGACTGTGACTGCAGCCATGAAATTAAAAGACGCCTGCTCCTTGGGAGGAAAGCGATGGCGAACCTAAACAGCATGATAAAAAGTAGAGACATCACCCTGCCAACAAAAGTCCGCATGGTCAAAGCAATGGTATTCCCAGTAGTCATGTATGGCTGCGAGAGCTGGACTATAAGGAAGGCCGAGCGCCGAAGAATAGATTCTTTTGAACTATGGTGCTGGAGAAGACTCTTGAGAGTCCCTTGGACTGCAAGAAGATCAAATCAGTCAATCCTCAAAGAAATCAACCCTGACTGTTCCCTGGAAGGCCAGATAATGAAACTGAAGCTCAAATACTTTGGCCACCAAATGAGAAGGGAGCACTCACTGGAGAAGACCCTGATGCTGGGAAAGATTGAAGGTCAAAGAAGACGGGGACGGCAAAGGATGAGATGGCTAGACAGTGTCATAGATGCAACGAACATGAAATTGAGCAAACTTCAGAGGATGGCGGAAGACCGGAAGGCCTGGCGTGATTTGGTCCATGAGGTCGCGAAGAGTTGGACTCGACTGTGCGACTGAACAACAACAACAAAACAAGAATAAAATAGTACAATCACAAGCCACAGACCCCAACTACCTAAAACCATAATTGTATCCCCCAGATTCTAAATTCCAAAATAGAGAGATTGTAATCTCTCCTTATATATGAAAGCATTTTGGTGTGAGACTCCCTGAACGTTCCACACGCCTCCCTAGGCTTTGGGTCCCTGATCTGTCGCTCAGTGGGGGGGGGGCAATCCCCTGGCTGGATTGCCTCCCTCTGTCGCCTTGCCCCCGCCCACAGACCCGCCAGGCAGCCTTTTGTCCTTAGTCTGTGTGGGGCCGCCAGGCGGAATGGTGGGACATGTGCGAGCCCCAGGTCAATCCTACCACTGCCACACCATTCCTCATTGTCGCAGGCGTGGGGGGCCCCCCGCGCCCAGCCTCCTCCACCCATGGGAGCCTTGAGCACGCTGGCCTGGCAGGCCGCCAGCTGCCCCATCACGGGAGGACCGCACCCGGTTGCCTTGGCCTGCTGTGTCATTGGGCCGGCACCGTGGCCGTGCGCCTTCGCCCCACCAGGCTCACTCCCCTGGCACACTGTTAGGCAGGCAGGTAGGTAGGTCCCGGACGCGGCGAGCGTCTTCGGGGCTTCCGGGAAGGGCGGGTGGAGTGCGGCCTCTCCAGTGGAGGTGGCGCACCGGCTGACACACCCATCTCCCTCCCCACCTGACTTCAGGCGCCTCCCAGAGCAATGGGTGGAGTGCCACCTCGGAAGAGGCGCCAGCGCCCCACCCCACGCAAACCCATTTTCGGTGCCCTCTGCCTTGCTTCAGAGGCCTTGGAGGGAATGGGTAGAGGGCGGCGGTGCTGTGCTAGCTGCTGCAGGCCCCATTACAGCACCCTACCCCCGCTACTGAGGCCTCAGGCAGGATGGCCTCGGTGGTGCGCTAGCCGCGGTGGCCCCATTTATGCCCCCCCGCCTGGCTGCAGAGGCCTTGGGGGAGTGGGGGGACAGTGGCGGTGGCGGCGCACCCACCGCCGTGGGCCCGTTTAGAGCGCCCCCCACCTTCAGCAGCCCCGGGGGGCCCGGCGGCGCCAGTGCACTAGCCACCACAGCTCCATTTACAATGCCCCCCCGCTTCAGAGGCCTTGGGGGGAGCACGTAGGGGGCTGTGGCGGTGGTGTGTTAGCCACCGCGCGCCCGTTTATACTCCCCCCCCCCCCCCCCCCGGCCCGGGTGGAGGGAGGCGCACAAGCCAGAAAGGGGCCGGGGAGACCCTTTAAAGCCCTCCCCATCCCTTCTCCTGCCCTCCCGTCAAGGCCAGCGAGCAGGAGATGCCGGCCAGAGGCCCCCCGCCCCCTTTTGGCCCACCCGCGGATGCAAGTGAGCCAGGAACAGCCCAGGGAGCCCTTTGAAGCCCTCCCTGTGGCTTCTCCTGCCCTCCCGCTGACGCTGCCACATGGGAAAAGCCAGCCACGGGCCCCACTGTCTCCTCCTGGCCCGCCCGCTGACACACCTGAGCCAGGAAGGGGCTGGAGAGCCCTTTGCGGCCCTCCCCATGGGTTCTCCTGTCTTCCCGCCAAGGCGGCCGGGTGGGAGGTGCCGTCCAGAGGCCCCCTCCCCCTCCTGGCCCGCCCACCCCTCCCCCGGGAACGATTGCTAGCGCCCGTCGCATTCCTGTCCGCAACAGGCCTTTTCTCCTAGTGTAGTCTATAACTCAAGAAGATAGTTTTGATACTTCTTTTTACCATCAAACATCAGCTGTTACTGCTGGATGCTCTATTTGTATTTTCGGGACTAATTCTCTGTAATACGTACTGAGATTCAATTGTTGTTGTGTTTTCTTTGCTAGCCGCTTCTGGTCTTCAGGCCTGTGCTTTCTTAACCCTGATGCTACTAATTCTATCTCTCTTCTCCTCCTCCCCCACCCCACCCCAAGCAGATGGAGAAGAGTTGGACAAAAGCAGCCACACAGCACTGAAAAATGGACACACAATCCCCATTGACTGCTCTGGGATCGCTGGCCTAGAATACGTGGAGGAAGAGCCCGGGAAAAAGCCAAGCCTTAAGAAGCCCGTTCCTTCAGAGGAACCAAAGAAATCACAAGGTGACAAATTCAGATGCGACTGGGAGTATGTTTGCTAGAGGAGGGGGAAAAGGATGCCTGAGAAAATGTCTTTGCAAATTTCAGCTCCTACTTGTGAAAATACCAGTTTTGAGGTCTCTCTTTTTTGCCTAGTGCCCCCGCCCATGGTGATTTCCTCATTCTAAGACAAGCAAACGCACACCTTCGCTCTTGAGGCCTGACCCCACCCAGTTTATCTTTCTTACTATCAACCATGCTGTCTCCTGCCCGCCCACACCCTGCTGGAATATGCCAGCCCTTCGTCTTGTTCTTCATTTTGGGAATTTGGCACGCACCTTCATGCATTCCTGTCCCTGCTGCTCTTTTGAATATCTGCAGACTCTCCAACCAAATCTCTTCTCTCCCCCTCCCTTCCCACCCTGAAAAAGAGAAATTCCATGGGCAACGCCTTATACTGCAGATCAGGGGCCATGCAGGGAAGGAAGTGAGGATTTAACCCTTCAAGCCCTGCTCAGCTTCATGGCACTTGGCATTTTAAAGAATAAAAGATGTGTCCTTTTAAAATGCAGTGTGAGAGCTTGGTTTCAGTTGATGAAAAACGAGTGGGTCTTGAAAGGTTAAATTCTCTCCCGATTCAGCCTGAATCAGAATTGAGACTACACCTACATGTAACATGCCTTGTACAAACAAATGGAGACCAATGATTTTTGTCCCATCCGCACCCTCAAAAGCTTTGGGGAAGGAACTTATGAGGCACTGGTAAGTAAAAGCAAGCCTGGGTGAAATGTGAGTGAAAGAGGAGCTCCCTTCTCCCAGGGACCCCCCTCATGCCAAACCCCTTCTAAGTTCAGGTGTTGACTGAGCTTTTAAAAAGCTCTTCAAGTGCAGCTACTTAACCGATCCAGATCTTTCCATTCTGCTTCTCCTCCGGCTCGAGGCGGCTTTACAAACAATTTTAAAGCTTTATGAACAACATTAAAGCTTTACCATATTACCCTCTATAAAGGTAATATAAAATTGAAAGTTTACTTCAAAACATACCACAGATGGCAGCAGTTCGGTCAACGGTCCGTTGTGTGGCCGTTGGGGCTAGAAGCTCCATTACGACCTGATGATGTGATTGCATCCTGACAGAAACTGGCTCTCTGTTCTTCCTTGTGGTTGTCTATAAAACAAGTTATGGCTGCTGCTCTGTAAGCTTTGCTTGCCTGGCTGATTCCAGGTAACAGTGGCAGCTGGATTTGAAAAAGCAAGCCAAAGTCATGACCATCTGCCTGCAAGCCCCAAGATCTGCTGTGTCTAGAATCAGAGTTGGACGAGGCCATGCAGGCCATCTAGTCCAACCCCCTGTTCAATGCAGGATCAGCCTAAAGCATCCCTGATTTGTCACCAAGTTGCTTTCCCTTTGTAGCAGTCCCCTCGATACCTTCTCTTTTCTTTGCCAGAATTCCTTGTGGCTTCTTCCTCCTCCCCTAAGCCTGCTTCTGGCCCACCAACCACCCTTGGCTAAGCTGCCATTTCTCCCCTTCCTTACCTCCGTCCCCCACTTCAGGATCGCTCTTCACCATCTACCTGCTCCCTTGATGGCAATGCTGCTGAAAGCAAAGACGAAGGGAAGGGAGTGCAGAGCAGGCTCATTGGAGGCTTTTCAGCTACTGCACGAGGCTTATAAAACACATGGAGAATAAAATGAGTGACCGAAGTGTCACAGTGAATGCAATGAGTGACCCCAGTATGTGGCTGTATGAACAGCTTTTCCTCTGTATATTGCTTTTGACAGGCTAGATGTGCATGCAAGGAGAGCATGTATGTTGCATGGAGTCTAGTAGTGGTCAAACTACCAGGGCAGTAGAGAGCTGGGAGTGCCCTGCAGAGCTGTTGTTTTTGTCTGCTGCCTTTGAGTCAGACCCTTTTTCTGCCAGTGTCTACTTTGACTGGCAGTGTCTGTCCAGGGTCTCAGGCCAGAGGTGTTTTCATACCACTTGCTACCTCATCCTTTTAACTAGAGGAGCCAGGGATTAAACCTGGGATCTTCTCCATGCAAAACAATTGCTCTGCCACTGAGCCAAGGCTTTTTGACAGGACTGCAACACCTTACAATGAATTGCCTTACCACTGGCATAAGCTGCAAGGCTTTGCGTTAGATGTGAAAAATCTAGTTTGTGCACACAGAGGAATCTGTTGACTAACGATGTTTTGTGCTGTAAGACAACTGTAAGACAATCTCTAACATGTGCCAACCCTCATCTGTTATAAGGGATATAAAGAAGTTTGGTGAGTGGTCCAAAATGAGCAGAAGAAAGTACTTGAAATGTATCAGAAAGATTAAAAAAGACCTAATAAAGTGTTCCCCCACCCTATTTGTTTGGTACATTTGTTGTCTTGCCCTTCCTTCAAGGAACTCAGGAAGCATTCATTGTTCTGCCTTTCACTTATTATCTGCACAACAGTCCTGTGAGGTAGGCTATGCTAAGCAGGTGTGACTTTCTATGAGCTCCATGGCAGTGTGCGTGCATGTGGTCTCTCAGTCTGTGTTTTCCAGCTCCCAGTCCAGCCACTAACCACTAAAGGTCCTTAAAAGCAACTCTCCAGACAAGAACAAGCTCTGAGTCCAGTAGCCCCGAAAAGATCAACCAGATCTCCAGGGTATAAGCTTTTGGGAGTCTAAGCTCCTGTTGACAGATTCTCCAGACAAGGGAGGGATGTGATACACAAGCCTCAGGATGACGTCCGGCGTGACTTCTGTGCCCAACTCCCTAGTTTTTGGTTTGTTCCTGTTTGCTGCATGCCACTTTTTAAAATGCCTGGATAGAGAATATGAGAGCCGGGGATTTTTTTATCCTCAGGGTTGGAGCTGAGCAGTATAATCTGTTCTTCTCCATTGGCTCTCAGAAGCCATTGCAGATAAGGAGAAGGAGTTGCCTTCAACTCCTGAATGCCCTCTGTTTTCCCCTCCCAAATTCTGAATTGTCGCCACCACACCAAGATTTGTAGTTTGCCCCCACTAAGCATCACTGGCCTAGTAGAATGGCATCCTGGTTTTGAGATGGTTCCCCGAGGGTAGCCATGTTGGTCAGCAGCAGAACATCTGTCAACGGTGTTCGACATAGTCGACCATCAGTTCCTGATCCACCACCTCACCGACACTGGAGACCAGAGGTCTGCTTTGCAATGGCTTGCCTCCTTCCTTCAGGGTCGGGGACCAAGGGCGGCATTAGGGGAACAGCTATCCCGAAGGCACCCACTGATCTGTGCAGTGCCCCAAGGGGCGGTGCTCCCTCCGATGTTATTCAACATCTATATGCCCCCCCTTGCCCAGATAGCCCAGAGGCATGTGCTGGGATGTCACCAGTATGCGGTTGACACCCAGCTCTATCTGTTGTTGGGCAGCCAGTCTGACTCTAAACTGGAAGGACTGGACCTGGCGTTACAAGCCGTAGCTGGATGGCTTAGACTGAGCCAATTGAAATTGAATCCAATGAAGACAGAGGTCCTGTACCTGAGCCGAGGCGATCTGGGGTTAAGGATCCCACTCCTGACCTTCGATGAGGCTCTGTTGGTGCCAGCACTGGAGGTTAGGAGTTTGGGAGTGCTCTTGGATGATTCCTTAACAATGGAGGCCCAGGGGGCAGCCACTGCCAAGTCAGCCTTTTACCATCTTCGGCTGATTAGGCAGTTGGTTCCCTTCCTCAAACACAGCAACTTGGCAACAGTGATCCATGCAATGGTCACCTCAAGCTTAGACTACTCTAATGCTCTCTACATGGGGCTGCCCTTGTCCCAAATCCGGAAACTACAGCTAGTGCAAAATGCTGCAGCCAGGCTTCTGATGGGCCTCCCCATGTGGGAGCATATCCAGCCTGTGCTGAAAGCACTGCACTGGCTGCCCGATAGCATACCAAATTCACTTCAAGGTGCTGGTTCTTACCTTTAAAGCCCTTTATGGTCAGGGGCCTACATGCCTTTCCCCACATGTTCCCCAGAGAGCACTGCATTCAAGGTCTCAAAATTGACTGGCCCTCCTGTGTCCCAAAGATGCCAGGCTGGCCACAACCAGGGCCAGGGTCTTCTCAGTGGTGGCTCTGCACTGGTGGAACAAGCTCCCAGAAGACATCAGGGCCCTGCAGGACCTTTTACAGTTCTGCAGGGCCTGCAAGACGGAGCTCTTTCACCAGGCCTTCAATCAAGGAGCCGCATCTAATAACTGAACTGTGATAAGACCTTGTTCTCCCACTGAGGTGGAGGACATCTCCATGGGTTATTCCCATCGTTCCTTTAGGGAGGCAGGAAATACTTTTTTCTCCTTCCTGTTGGCGCCTTGGGAATAGCCCTGCCCCTCAGTTCTATTCCTGCCTCTTAGGGAGTAGCAGCTAGGGACAGAGCTCTGCGATTCTGTCCATCTACTTTCTCTCTCAATTCTTTCTATTTTGCTCTATATTGCTCTCTTTTATTCCTCAGAGTCTCTCTCTCCCCCCCTACTTTTTACTCTATTTTTTCCCTTCTTGCTCCTGCTTGGAGCCAGAAGACGTTGAGAGGCAAGTCCCTCCCGGGTGCTTGTCAGACCTGCACGATGGCTACCAAGCACTCAGAAGACTTTTCATCGGGGGACGAGGCAACAACACTCACCGCAGTGGCGGGCGGAGCGCAACTCAGCAGTGGGGCCTACCTGCCTTCGGGGCTTGTTTGTGCCACCCCGATGAGTGCAGCAGAGGCGGCGTCGGCAGCACAGCGTGCACTCAAACGCCGCTGGCCGCAAGAAGAAGCAGGGCCCGCTAATTCTGGGCAGGCGAAGATCGGCGGCCATCTTGAAGAAGTGGAGCCAAATCCGGACGCCATCTCCAGGTCTCTGCAGCACGACGCTGGAACGGATGGATTTGTAAGCCCTCCGATTCGCGTTCCCTGGGCCCAGAGTTAGATCGCAGGGAGGGTAACACCTTCCAAGGGGCCTTAATCAACCGAGCAGAAGATCTGATGCTAGCCTTTCGCCAGGCCATGCAGGAGGGCATCTCCACCTTCCGTGAGAGGGCGGGTATCCCCTGGACAAGGGCCCTTCCCAGGACAACCGTCCCAGCCTCCTTCAGCTTGGCCCACTAAGGCTGCCCAAAAAGCACCCCCAAGACCCAGTAGGGGTTCTAGAGAGGAGCAATGGGAAGATGAGGAGTCTGTTGGGTCCATGCAGGAGGACAGAGAGGAAGGGGAATTCCTCTCAGATGAGGAGGTGGAGGATCTTAAGATGCCTGAACAGGCTAGCCGCTTTTTTTAAGTGGAGGACTACCATTATTTCTTGTCCAAAGCCATGAAGGCTTTAAAGATATAGGAAACTCTTCCCTCCGAGGACTCGGCCTCTTCAAGATCTAAGCTAAAATCCAGATCTAGAGGTGACCAGGAGTTCTTCCCTCCTGAGGAGTATGTGGAAAATGTCTTTCCCTTTCCGGACTATTTTGAACGTCAGCTAAGGGTGGCATGGGACAAGCCAACTGCTAACAAGCAGTTCTCAGGTTTTGTAAAAAAGATGTATGCCTTTCCCAGTTATGCCAATGAAATGTTACAGGCTCCACCAGTGGACGGTCCCGTGGCGGCTATCCAGTCAACAGGTCTAGTCTCGGAGGATGGACACGATTCCATACGTGATCCTATCGATAAAAAGGCTGATGCCACACAGAAAAGATTACATGAGTCCATCACCATGATTGTCAAGGCGGCGGCTACGGCGTCAATCGCTTCCAGGGTTTCCATCGTCTAGATAAGAAAGCTCATTCAGATGTCACCGGAAAACAACAGAGGCCTGTTGGAAGGTGCTACGCGCGTCCTTCACTGCTGATGCCACCCTGGACATTCTAATGTCTGCGTCTAGGGCACTGGCTTCCACGACAGTGATCAGAAGGCTTCTCTGGCTGAGAGCATGACAAGCAAACTTTCAGTCTAAAATGACAGTCACCTCATATCCTTTCCAGGGAGATCGCCTCTTTGGAGAGGCTTTGGACAAGATACTCGTGGAAACGCAAGACAAGAAAAAAGCATTGCCCCGGAACCTACGCAATGTGGACAGACGGAATCTCATTCCTTTCACACCAACCATGCACTCCCGTGTTTTCGCCAGGACCAGCGAAAAAACACCTGGGGCTCGTCTGAGCCTACTGGGAAGAGGAGTTCCTTCAATCCCAGATTGAACAAACCCTTCAACAGACCTGATAGAGGTGACAGGGACAACAAGCCCAAGCAAGCATGACTATGCTCTTCTTCCAGTGGGGGCAAGACTTTTGGAGTTTTCCCAGGCCTGGAAGGACTCCCAAGCAGATGCCTGGGCCATAGAAGTTGTATCCCAGGGTTACACCATCGAATTCTGTTGCACCCCACCAGAAAGATTCCTGGTCTCACCTATCAGCAGGTCAAGCACCAAGCAATCTCTAGTGAACAGAGCCTTACAGCATCTACTAGAGATACGAGCCATAGAACCGGTACCTCCATCAGAACGTGGATGC